AAAAAAAAAAAAAAAAAAAAAAAAGAGAAGAATATCCTTAGCAGCCACCGCCCAAGAGTAAACACTGGCGCTTATTCGCCTGTCGCGTCTCTCCCTTTGATAAGCAACGACGTATCTGCTTACGCGAAGAGAGTTTGGTCTTTCAAATAGAAATAAGAGTTTTAAAAATCAACAAAAAACCGGCAAACGATACCTTCCGCGCAGATCAAAAGGTGCGGTATCGATAATTGGTGAAAATCTCTGAGCCTGGGGAGCGCAGCGTCTCTCGCTCAGCTACTCACCCTATTACCCAGCCACCCCAGAGTAACCGTCGCCGTTTGAGGATTACATATTTCTCTTGGCCGCAATAAAAAACATTTTATATTTATTTTGTCTCTTGAATATCGAAAGACGTCGAGTACAAATGGCGATGGTGAACTCTTCAGGGACGCCCACGTCTCTCTCTCTCTTTCTCCCTCTCTCTCTCTCTCTCTGTCTGGGGAGAGAAGCTGATTTTAGAAAGGTTCCACCGTGTATCTTTGCTTTACGCTTTACTTTTATTTATCTCGGTAAAAGATGGAATTCGCGTTTATACACTTGATACGTAGACGAACCTGGTGCCACAGACGAGTGCGCCTTTAGTAAAGACGCTCCTTTGAATGATACTTGCCTCCCTCTCTCCCTCTCTCTCTCCCACCCACCCCCTTAAGCCAAGAGTTCTCTCACTCTCCCGCCTTCGCGACGTAATTTCTCGGCCACGAGTCGAAGGCTGCTACACCCTGGGATATCTCTGGACCAGTGGACGGTTCCTCGATCGGCGGAGCTACACGAGAACAAGCATCCAGACTCCTGAGGCAAAGGACGAGGGAAGAAACGGGAGTCCCGTTTTGGACGGTAATTCGAAAGAAAGAATGAGGATGGGGTTAACTTCTAATTGTTTTGTTAAATGACGCGCGAGTAAGAATCCCAGGACTTAAGTCCCGCTTGCGCCAACCTCCCTCTTCGTTCCACCCCTCCAACCCCCCTACCCGTCACGCTGCCCCCTCTCGCTCTGCCCATTCTGACTTCGCTTGGCTCCATTCTCTCCTTTTAATTCTTAGCTTTATTCTCTCTAAGACTCTCTCTTAATTTCTTATTTCTCCCTCCGACCTTCTCCGATCCTTCCTCCACCTACCCTTAGCCACTGGCTCACCCCCCTCTCTCTCCCCCC